AAACAAAAGACACTGAACATGCACAGTATGAAATTAAAAAAATTACTGATACTAAATGGAAGTTAATTTTTGCATGGAAAAATGTAGATTTAAAGGAATTCTTATATAAAATTGCATTAGTTTGTAAACTGAGAGAGATTAGTATTAATGAATCTTCTATTAATATTAGAAATATTGCAAGTGTTAATAGAACTCTTGTTGGTGAAATAGTTCTTGAAGGGGAACAACTAGGAAAGGAGTTAAAGAGGGAGTCTTTCCTTAGAGAGTTTATAAGTTTAAGAGAGATGGGAAATTATGACCAAATTGGAAAAGATTTAGTTGAAACACATTACCTTTCTGTTTCAAAATGTAGTTTATTACTAGCGTTAAGTGTTTTAGCAGAACAATTTTTATGTGAAATCAATGAAACAATGTTTACTGAAAGATATATTCAAGAAGCCATTTGTTTTCATGCTGCTATTAGTAAATTGATATGTGATGCTTTTTATAATAAATTTAATCCAAAAAATATTCGTGAAGATATTTATAATGAGAAAATTGCTTTGGCTAAGGAAGCTATTGAAAATATTGACTCAGGAAAATATAAACATGACAAAAGAAGAAAAATTATACTTAGGTTTATTGTTTCATTAGTTGAACATATATTAAAAACCAATTTCTTCTGTATTGATAAATTGGCTATTGGGTTCCGTTTAAATCCTCATTTCCTTGACCAAATTCCTGAATTTGATAGAACCACAAAATACCCAGAGTTACCATTTGGTATTTTTTTCATTTATAACAAAAATTTCTTTGGATTTCAGATTAGATTTAGAGATTTAGCAAGAGGAGGATTGAGAACAGTTATTAATAAAGATATGGAAACCGCATTATTCCAAAAGACAAATATGTTTGGAGAATGTTACAATTTAGCCTATACGCAACAAAAAAAGAATAAAGATATTCCAGAAGGAGGGTCAAAAGGAATTATTTTCTTGTATCCAAATAATATCAAAAATGATATTGAAATTATAAAGAAGAAGTTAATTCTTGAGGGGTATTCAGGTGATATTGAAGAAATTATAAAAGACTACGAAGATAAAGCAAAAAATGAATATTTATATTCAATGCAAAAATGTTTCTTAAATACCTTTTTAACACTTATTGTTGCTAATAAAGATGGAACTATCAAAGAAAGAAATATTGTTGATTATTATAAACACCCAGAATACATTTATCTTGGTCCAGATGAAAATATGCATGATTGTATGATTGAATGGCTTGCCAATGAATCTAAAAGAATGGATTATTTTGCAAAGGGTGCATTTATTAGTGGAAAAGAAGAAACTGGTATTAATCATAAAGAGTATGGAGTAACCTCTATTGGAGTATTTGAATATGTTAAATTGGGACTAGATTATCTTAAATTAAATAATTATACTATGAAAATTACAGGTGGACCAAATGGTGATGTTGCTGGTAATTTAATTCATTTAGTTAAGAAAGAACATACAGAACGATGTAGAATCACTTCAATTTCATCTTCTGTTTGTGCTATTTTAGATAATCAAGGAATTGATATTGATGAATTAGACCAATTATTCTTAAAAGGAAAGGCTCTCCAATACTTTAACACTGAAAAATTACATGATGATGGGTATATGATTCGAATTGACCAAAGGAGAACGTATCAATCTTTTGTTGAACAATTTAAAATATATAATAAAAAGAATGGCAAGGTTGAAGAAAATTGGATTGAAGCTAATAAAGGAATGAAGCTATATGAAACTACTGTTCATCAGAATGTTGTTGATGTTTTTTGTCCATGTGGTGGTAGGCCATATACTTTGAATGAGAATAATATCCAAAATTTCTTAGTTAATGGTAAAGCAACTGCTAAAATGATTGTTGAAGGAGCCAACTTATATCTTACATCAAAAGCAAGAGATGTTTTAGAAAAAAGTGGTGTTTTAATATTTAAAGATTCATCTGCAAATAAATGTGGTGTTGTTTCATCATCATACGAAATATTAGGTGGATTAGCACTTGATGATGATCAGTTCATTGCCATTAAGAAACAGTATGCAAAAGAAATACTTAAACGTCTTGTTGATATTGCTCAAGGAGAAGGAAATTGTATGCTTCAAGCCTATGATGCAAAATACAACTCTAGTTTAGTCAGCATCAGTGAAGAGATAAGTAGAAGAATTAATAAATACACTGATTGTATTCAAGAATTTTTAGCACCATTAAATTTATTTGATACAAGCAACAAGAAGTATTTAAATATTTATATAAAGTATATTCCAGAATGCTTAAATCCATATAAAGAACAGTTAATGACTCGTATTCCACAGATGCACATGAAGGCAATCATTGCAACATCTTTGGCAACTCATTTGGTTTATTCTAAGGGATTAGGATGGCATGTCTCAATTATTGACATTCTCCCTAATCTTCTTTAATTTAGTTTATTCTTTCTTATTATTTATTGAAGTATTAATAATAAATGAAAAATAAAATAAAAAAAATATACAAATCTAATGAGACATAATTAATATTTGTTTGATTTACTAAATGAATTAGAAGTTCTTGTTTGTTTTATTGTTTATTACAGAGAAAGCACCTTTTTAGATGAAAAATAGTTATTTATTTATATTATAGTCTTATGAGTGTTAAGCAATAAATATAGCAGTAGTACTATTCATTGTATTGAAAAAAATATAAGTTAAGATAGAAGAATAGACACATATACTAATAGTCATATTTATTTTTGAAGTTATACTCTGTCATAGAATTTTAGAAGTAATTAACAATAATTTATTTTGATAAATATCCACAATTGAAGAAGAAAATTAGAAGATAATAGAAAACATAAAATTTAATAAGTGAAGGAGCAATGTTAGAATTAAGTGAATTAAATGGATAATAAATGTGTATGGGGTATGTTTGATTAAATATTAGTAATGGTATATTTAATTATTTATAGTTTTAAAAAGAGTTATAGACATAAAACAAGATTATATATAAATAACTCAAATAAGATGTATGGAACAGAATAATTAAACTCATTATAAACGTATTAAGTTACAGCAAAGTGAAGTTGGAAAGAATATCTTGTTTTGTTGAAAGTATATTTGCATGCCTATAAATATTTGTTGTTATTAATTTGTTTTAAATGGTGATAAAAATAATGTTGAAACACTTATATTTAGAATTAATAAACGAAAACATAAAATACATATATAACATCTTATATTATTAATTTATTTCATATACGTAAAGATATGATATTAATTGAAATACATTTGTCTCAAAAAACTATTAGAAGAATTAAATATATATTAATTGTTTCAAATATCTATGGAAAATAAATGTCAAGAGTTATTTTTTAAATGACTTTTTATTGATGATTAAAGTTATCTTTTATAAAGATAATTTGAGAAGAATATAGTATTTTTAATTTGTTAATGTTTAATCTTATTTGTATTTATATTTTATTCTTGTTTGATAAAAAAGATAATTTTTGTTTCAAATAGTAGTTTTGAAATAACACTGTTCAATTTCATCTAACAACATTTTTATGATGCTTGTAACTATTTTCAACGTAAATCATTACATTGTTTGTATCAAGCAAATCTATATTATATTATTCTTAATATTAGTCTCAACTTATGTTGGAAAGTATTTTCATTTATATATGTATTTGAAAAATGTACTTCTTCTAAATGATTAGAATTATATAATACTTTATTGTTATTTGCAATTTATATAATTATATTTTCTTTATTGTTGTTTCTAAAAAAAAATGAAACATGAATATTACTTAATTGAACTGAAATTTAGTAAAATAAGGATGACTAAAACATTGTTCAGCAGATGGCCTTTGAAATGGATCAATGAACATCATTTTATTTATTAAATCATCTTGGCACATTTCAAATTCAGTTGGGTTTGATGGTAAACCTTCTTGAATTATTGATTCTGTTGTGTTAATAAATGGATAATTTTTTAATACGTTTGGATATTTATTATGAGCCATCATATACATTATAACACCAGTACTCCATATATCAACCCTTTCTGCATAATAAGGTTTTTTATTTACAACTGATTGTATAATTTCTGGAGCAATTAAATAATCAGAGTCACAATAAGTAGATGCAAGTCTTGTTTCATCTATTCTTCTACTAAAACTAAAATCAGCCAATTTCAATGAAAGTGAATCTTCTGATTCAAAAATAATTGTTTGAGGACTAATTCTTCTATGAATAATATGTTTTTTCTGTAAATATTGAATTGCTTTAAGAATTTGGTATATTATAAATTGAATGTCTTTTGCTTTGAATGGTTGATAAAATAAACGATGACATAAAGCTCCACCCTTAAGAAATGGGGTTATGAGAAATATATGGTTATCTGTAATTATTGTTTTTAGTAACTTAACTATGTATGGAGAATCAATTGATTGAAGTGTATTAATTTCTTTCATATTAATTGGAAATAATTTTTTTCTTATTATTTTAACAAGTAACTCCTCTTTTTGGAAAGAATCTTTTTTAACTAATGCCCTCCTTATGTATTGTTCATTCCCATTAATATATCTTCCAATAAAATAATCATATTGGATTCCACTGCTTTTCATATCTTCCAATTCAACTCTTTTATCAATGAACATATATGATATAGCAACTGAACTTAATGGCTGACACATAGTAATTTCATCATAACAATATATTTCACTAGACTCATTGCATCTACTATGATTAATAAAAGTACCATTAGTACTAGAGTCTAGAAGATAAACATGTCCAATAGAGGGGAAATCTTTTTTAACGGTAAAATGATTAAAACTTATCACTGTTTTAGTTTCAAGAAATGATTGATATCCTCTTCCGATTCTTGTCTATATTTATTATTATTATTATTTTGTTGAATAAGGAGAAAGAAAAGAAACAAACCACATTTTTATTTAATAAAATATCTGGATATGCTTCATTTTGACTCTTTAAAACTCCCCAAAAATCTTCTTCCATTTCCATATTATTCAAATACTTTTTTAGTTTTAATTTTAAATGATCATGAAATTAATGACAAGATCTAAGAAAGTAGTATCTAAATTCAAATTAATTAAAATAAAATTATCTAATCTATTTTTAATAACCATTAAACCCAAAAATAAATAAATGAAATGATTAATCCCATTCTTTAACCAAATTTTTAATTTTATCTTCTTTATCTTCAACTCTATTATCTTGAATTGTAATTTCAATATATCCATCTTCTTTACCCTCTTCTTTCATTTCTTCAAGTCCTAAAATTCCAATTTTTATTTTTCCAAACATCATTTCAAGTCTTTTCTTCATTTGTTTTCCTTCACTGATTTTATTGCAAATAATAAAAACACCTTTTGGTCTTTGTGAATCAAAATTTTCCCAAAAATCAATACTCTTAATATTTTCTTCTATCCATTCTTTAGCCATTCTTTCTTTATCTTCATCTTCATTACAAATCATATGCATAATTTCACCATCACGTATTTGTTTAAAAATTAAATCATTTTTTGTTTGTGTTCCTTCTTCTTTCTTCTGATTTTGTATTTTCTTTTTTTCAAATTCTTCTTTTAAATTATCTTTATCAACAATTACTGCTTTAGGTCTTGGTGATTTTGAGGATATTGAACTAGTAGATTTTCTTTTTTTAGTTTCTTCAATTATACTAATCACTCTATCATTATCACCTCTTGGACTAACTATTCCATGAATATCATTACTAGTTTTATGTCTAGAAAGACTTGAAAAAGACCCACTAGTGCTAAGATCTTTCATAGTCTTAGATATTGATTTTTTTTGATGTAATTTCTTTCTTTTAGGTTCTTCTTCAAGTTTACTTCCTGATGAAGTAACAACTCCTATTTTGTCAGTATGTGTTTTTCGTGGTGAATCTGGTGCAGAGCCAAGTGTTGGAGTTCTATAAGAACTTCCTCTTGAACCACCAGCTTCACTTGTGTATTCACTTCCATACTGTAATATTTCTGTTGTTTGTCTACTAATTTTAGATGAAGGAGAAGCCATTAAACCATTGACTGTTTGATTTATATTAAATAATAAGTTATCAGTTTGAGTTGACCAATTTTTTAATGAAGTTATTTCTTCTATAATTTTTTGTTGTTTGTTTTGGCTTTCAATTAGTGTTGTAGACATGTCTTGCTTTAACTTTGATACTTCTTTATTAAAATTATTAAATTTTTCTTCTATAACACAATCAACTGAAGGTCCTTTATCAGAATTTGATTGGGTTGTAATTTCTCCTAGTTGTTGTTCTTTTAATTTAACTTCTTTTAATTGATTATCTAATTCATTCATTCTATTATCCATATTAACAATACTACTTTTTATTAATTCTCCTAATCCTTCATAACTTTTCATATGCTCTTCTAATGAAGTTATTCTTTTAATCATTTGATTTAATACTTCTTCTGTTTTTTCATTACTTTCTTTAACCTCTGTATATTGATTTATACCTCTTTTAGTTAGAACAAGATTTCTTAATTCATTAATTTGATTTACTATATCATCTATCTTTTCTTCATAATTGTTTGTAACATTTGTTTTATTGATAACAACATTATCAATTATTTCGCTCATTAATCCTTCCATAAACATTCCACTATAATAAAATTTAATTGTATAACCATTACCAGTTCTTTCAATGCTTTCTATAGAATTTAATACTGAAAGTCCTTCAGTGTTAGAAAATACTTTTAGTTTAGTTGAATATTTTCCTATACTTTCTTCTTGTTTATTTTTTAATTCCATTTCAATATACAAATCATCAACTAAAAGATTATTTAATTTTTTTAATTTGAATTCTACTTGATAAACTGATTGTCCATCAACATAACTCATTATTTTCTCTAATAATACCATCTTTCACTCAGACTTTTTAATATTTTTTTATAGTTTTTTATAGTTCTTTAATGGATTTTATTTTTTGATTTCTTCAATTAAGAGAAAACAAAACATGAAACAAAATATTTAAGTTACTATAATTTATAATTTATTTTATTATTATTTATTAGAATAATTCATTAATCAAACATTATTACATATCCAAAGAAGTTAGCATTAGAATCACAGAAAGTATCTACATAATTGGCTATATCAAAGACTTGAGTAATATCATTATTAAAATCTGAAAGTCGGAACCCAATTAGTGTTATTCCTTTTTTAAGTTCTTGTTGAGTTAATGAAAGTACTTCAGATGAAATTTTTGAATGAACCATAAACAATGCACAGTCATAATAATAACGATCAACAATACCACCAAACTCAGTAATAAGACCAGAAATAAATTGGTTGTTTCGTTTAACTTTATGTTCATTTACTTGATCAAAAACATATCTTATTTCTTCTGGGTTTTTTAAGTTATTTTGATCAACAAAAACTCCTTTAATTTCAAATGAAGAATAGATAGTGTTAATACTAGAAATGCTATCAGGATTCATAGCCATATATACATCAAGTTTTTGATTTATTGCTTTAGTATAGAAAGGAACAAAATCATTAAAATACGTTTGATTTGTTGGGTTAAAACTTCTAGTATCAATAATAACAGCTCTTAATCGTTCATTTACGTATCTATCAATTGAACTAATTCCTAAAGATGATTGCATGGCAAAACATTTATTTCTTTCCCAATATACTAATGTCTCAGGCCAACATAATAAAACTATTAATAATATTAATCCAATAAACATTAAACAAAGACCAAATATAACTCCTGTTAATCCACATCGACTAACATTTCGTTGAATAGGTGTTTGAATTTTCTTTAAGATAGCTCGTGCGTCTTCCATTAACTTAAACTACCTGTTTCTGAGTTTTTATTTGTAACATAAATTCTTTCAATTTTTGTTATTTCTCTTTTTTATTTTTGCTAAACCATTAAATTATAATAAATTTATTATTAAAATATGGTTTTTAAATATAGTCAAATAAAAACTCAAAATTCGTAAAGAAAGTTTCATGGAATCAGCATTCACCAAATACACCCCAACTGAACCACAATTACCCCCTATGTGTATAACGCTAACCAAATTTCTTACTACGAGAATTCAAGAAACTTACAATGTGTGTAAGAGAGAAAATCCAACAAATATAAAGAATTGTTTAACTAATCCATTTGAAGCAAGACATAATTATGGGTTAGATAACGAAAGAAATGAATTAATTGTATATAGACATGATATAATAGGGACTTTTAATTCATTTGAAGGAAAAGAATTTTCAATGAGCCCCTATACTATTTCAAGGTATGAAGTAATAGAAAAGTTAGGACAAGGAACATTTGGTCAAGTATTTAAATGTTATGATCATATAAATAATAGGTTTTGTGCATTAAAAATATTAAAAAATAAGAAAGCTTATTTAAGACAAGGTCTTTTAGAATGTGCTACATTATCTATGTTAAATACTTATTTTGACTCTAATAATGATAGAATAGTTAAGATGTATGATCATTTTATGTATTGTGATCATCTTTGTATTTCATTTGAATTATTAAATCAAAACCTTTATCAATATGCCAAAGAAAGAAGACATATTGGATTAGAATTAAATGATATTCAAAAGAAACTAATTCAACTATTAGAGGCAGTAGAATGTTGTAGTAAAGCAGGAATTATTCATTGTGATGTTAAACCAGAAAATATTTTGATGACAGAAAATGGAGAGTTAAAATTAATTGATCTTGGTAGTTCATGTTTTGAAAATTACACGTTGTATAGTTATATTCAATCAAGGCATTATAGAGCACCGGAGGTAGTATTTAATAATAGATATAATAATGCAATTGATATGTGGTCAGTTGGATGTATTATTGCAGAATTATTTTTAGGAGTACCTTTATTTCCTGCTGATAGTGAATTTGATTTAATTGTAAGATTTGTAGAAATGCTTGGAATGCCATCTGATGAAATTATTAAAAATGGAAAAATTGCTGATCGTTATTTTAAATTAGTTAAAAGGACTAACAAATATAGACTAAAAGAATCGTTTGAATTTGAATGGGAAAATAATATTAAATTACCTCCTCATAAAAATTATTTATATTATTCTTCACTTCATGATGTTATTATGAAAAACCCAATGAAATTAAGTTTAAATACGAAAGAAAATAATTTTATTATACGAGAGTGTTTACTTGATCTTCTTCAAAGAATACTTGTATATGATCCAAAAGAAAGACTTACACCAAACCAAGCATTAAATCATCCATTTTTTACTTTTAAAAATATTAATGATATTACACCAAAAGATTTTTATGAATGGACTCCTCCTGAAAGAGAATTTCCTTTTAAAGTTTATGGTCATTCAGTTTCTGCAGACCCTGAAGATATGTTATCAGATGCTTTTGAAAATAAAGTTATTATTAATAAAAAATTAACTAATTCAGAATATTACAATGTTTTCTTCACATTATTACAAGCTGGACATGTAGCTAATATTACTATTGATAATCCTTTTGAATATGGAAGTATTACACCAAAACAATTTATTAGAGTATTTAACCATCAATTTTCAAAACCTTCTATTCCTAAAGTTTCTACTGATGTTCCACGTTCATTTGTAGCTCAAATATATTCTGTACCAGATTCTTTTAATTCTGTTCCTATTAAAAAAGAAGAAAATCCATTAACAATAAAACATTGTAACCAAAGTAAAATTATAATTCATCGAATGACAGATAATAAATAAAGTAAACACAAAATAACTATTACAAAGTGTAATCAATTGTATTTTGTCTAGTAAAAATTAACCAATACTAATTTCAAATACTCATTCTTTTAAATTATTTTATTTATCTCTATTTTGAATAGCAAAGAAATTAACTTCTTGATTTTGATCAGTAGATAAACTGTCATTTGAAATTAATGATTGGTTTTCTGTTCTTATCTCATTAAATTGGACATTTTCTGTATTTTTTTCAGGTAATGCTGGAGCAACTTTTGATTTAGTAAGATTTATTTCATTATCATTTT